TGGCCATTGTGCTTTGAGACGCCAAATTCAACTTTGCAGTGGCCTGCATGGACGAGGTGGTAGTGTTTTCGAAAATCTTCGACAAGCACCTGATTCCTTTAACCACAGTACTAAAACGAATGCAGTAAGCACGCATCGCCATGAACCCCTAGAGAGTTCCGTCCAGCAAGGCACAATACGACCAGGCGAACAGAAACTCCAGGTAATCCTGAATTAGCACCCATGAACAGGCGTGAAAAGCCTGCAACAGTTTTTGGGTATGGTGAGCTTCTACCACCATTTTACTTCTAACTGTGTCGATCTGGCAAGACCACTTTACCAGCTCTTGCACAAGAGAGTCTTTTGGCCTTGAACTAACGCAAACTAGGCAGCATTCCAGGCTCTGTCGGAGGCTATTGCTGATACATTATGGCTGCGCCTCCCTGACCTAAACTTACCCTTCACTGTGAAGACCGATGCAAGTGAATATGGCCTTGGGCCAATTTTGCTCCAGGAACATCAAAAGATGCTTTACCCGCTAGCATATGCGAGCCACTCGCTCTCGGGTGCAGAAAGGAACTGCACAGTAGCAGAGAAAGAGTGCCTTGCAATCGTATTCGCGCTTAGGAAATCGGACTTGTGCGTGGATGGAGCTTCACTTACAATTCAAAACAACCACCAGACGCTGTGATGGCTGTCGAGGCTGAAAAACCCATCCGGTCGCCTGGCCTGAAGGACTCTTTCTCTTCGAAAACAGGAGTACAAACAGGAGTACAAGAAAGGCACCAGCAACAAAGTGGCTGACGCGCTTTCCCGAGTGCCACTGCCCAGAGATGGTGAACCAGGCACCGACATGCTGATTGTGACAATGCCTGAAGATGCATGGGGAACATTGGTCTCCCGGCAGCAGCTTTTGACGCTCCGAGAAGCGACAACCAGCGCAACCGAATATACAGTGGCCTGGCCATTGCCAGTGCCACCGGGAGCACACGGTCCAATAACGCCTCTAGTAGCTACTTGCAAGCCGATCACGGCCCGCTTTGCGTAACGTACCCTCACTTGATACGCATGATGGCGAGCCCCCATTCCGCGTTTTCATACCTTCGGACTCTACGCAAAAGTTTCTTGGCGTACTTTCATGACACATACCTTGCTGGTCACAGAGATGGCAAGAGGAGTTTTCAAAAGTTGGGTCGCGTCGGCACATGGCTGCACTTGAGAAAGAACGCCACATCATACGTTCGCACTTGCTCTACCGGCCAGACCACAAAACCGAGGGAAGGCAAACCACCGGGCCTCATGCAATCTGTGGAAAGCCGGTACCCATGAGAAATCATTGTCTGTGACGCAATGCGCCCGTACCCGAGATCAGCTAAAGGGTGTCTATACGTGTTAGTAGTCAGTGACCATTTTTCGAAATTGGTAGAGTTGTACCCGTTACGCTGGCTGGATTTGATTGATTTGTGGGGTTTAACGTCCCAAAACCACCATATGATTATGAGAGACGCCGTAGTGGAGGGCTCCGGAAATTTTGACCACCTGTGGTTCTTTAACGTGCACCCAAACCTGAGTACACGGGCCTACGACATTTCCGCCTCCATCGGAAATGCAGCCGCCGCAGCCGGGATTTGAACCCGCGACCTGCGGGTCAGCAGCTGAGTACCTTAGCCACTAGACCACCGCGGCGGGGCTACGCTGGCTGGATTCAAAAGTAATTTGGGATTGCCTGCAGCAGACGTTCACTCGCTTCGGTTTTTCAAACAAGCTAATAACAGAAAACTCCACATATTCAAGGCAGAATATTTGCGGACACTTGTAAAGCTCTTTGTGTACCCCACAAAAGAATTACACATTACCCCCCTCAGGCTAGTATTACTGAGCTCGTAAACAGAAGCCTTAAAACAATTTTGGTGGCTTTCACTCACCGGCACGTGGACTGAGATGCCCGCGTACAGAAAATGGCATTCGCCACGTGAACAACAGTGAATCGTTCAACTGGGTTTTGTCCGGCAGCCATTCTCTTAGGTCGCGAGCTTAGATTCCCCAACGAACATGTGCTTACCCATGACTCCGAATCCCCACGCTGCAACTACGCAACGTTCGCACAGAATATTTCAAGTCATTTGAGCGAATTTTTGCGGCAAGCCAGGGAGAACTTGGAACTACCAGCTTGGAACATTGCAATCAATATAACAAGGGCAGGCGACCTCTCGAGTTCGCAGTCGGCGCTGAGGTGCTCAACCGGACGCATCCACTAAGTGATGCCGCAAAAGGGTTTTCTGCCTCCCTCGCACCACACTGGGATGGTCCCTACGTGATTACAAAGCGAATTTTCAGTTAGCATACCTTCTCAAAAACAAACGAGGTGGTCGAGTAACAGGCCCCGTAAACGTGTGTGACCTCAAAGCTTGCCACGAGTGCCCGCTATAGACGCGTAAACTCAATCCCACAATATTGTCGACATTGCTGCTCTACGTATGAGTTGTTTTTCAATCAGGATGCGGTGCTTTTTGTTGTTCTTCTTCTTCTGTAAAAATCTTGTTTTTCGCAGATTATCCGCAGCAGCTTCAGTGCCTACAAGCCCACGACAAAGCACGAGGCTGACACCCGCCATGCGACGCAGGCACATGCTGCTATGAACATCGACACACGCTACGTGCACGTTCCATTTTATGCCACCCGATGGATAAAGAGAGGTCGCAAATTGCTATGTGATGTGTGACGTGTGTGCAGGCTCCATTTGTCGCAACTCATGGCAATAACATGCAATGAGTAGTGGTGTGTTCTGGTGCCTGAAAACTGCGTCGCCAGGTACACGCGACTAATAATGAAGTGTTGTGCAATGTAAAAAATGAGAGCCCTCCTTCACGGCGGAAGCCTAAGATATAGCGGTGCCGAGCACTTCCGTGAGATCAATTAGACCGGTTTCTGTAAGAAGAAGTCTTCTCACGGAATGCTAACGTTAGCACGGCCACCACAAAACACTCCATTCCAGCTTGTTTAATAACAGACACACTTCCGTGACTGAAACACAGCGATTGCTCTAAAACAAAATGTTGATATGTGCATCATACGTAGCTATGATTACAGCAGAGTATTTCATTCGGAAGAAGCACCTTTTCGTGACTGTGTTACAGCTGTTTTCTTATGAAGGAGTCCCCTACAAACATCTTACGTTACATGTAAATGCGACCCTCCACTCCAAGAACAGTTTATACGTAGGTCCTAACGATAGCGAGAAACGTAAAACGGACACTGTTGCTGACTAATTTGATGCAATTTCAAGTCAATATTATATTTTGTGGGATTTACTGACCAGTGGTGGATCTAGAGGGCGAGCAGTAGGGGCAATTGCCCCCTTGAAGCTGTTGCCTGTACCCCAGCCCCCCCCCCCCCTCCCCGTTTTTCACTGGCGGAAATGCTGTGAGCCAGAATGTGTGGTTTTTATGCTGTGGTGGAGTTCTTGCGAATTTAGTAAGTAAATATCAAAACTCCTTCTCCATTTCTGTTCCAAGCGAATTTCAAAGGGACGATCAGCAAGGGTGAAGCCCTTGCTGATCTTCCCCTCGGGCTGAGAGACCACAATATTTACTGCGACTTGCATGCAGTGAAATAATGCACAGTGCTTGCAAATGATACCACGTATAAATACAAGGCTAATGCTTGCACGTGGAATATAGATCGACAATAGTGCAGTGCATCCCGGATGGAAGTACACTAAAAATTCTTTATAAGGAAATTTGATATATTATTATCGTATGCATTGATAATATATTCACAGGTATTCTACCACTCACCACATGTGGATTCAATACATGCAATTTATATACATATTGCACTGTTCATGCGATATCGTAGGCTTATGCAAATACTCAAGCACGACAAATGTTCAAATGAATATTATTGCACTTGAAATAATTTTGATTCCAATATAAATTATTAAAAATTAGGTGCCCAAAATTACGTGCAACAGATAAGTGCATGTAATTCCCTGCAAAAAGTAGTTTCACTGCTGTATAGAAGTGCTATGACATGCAAACTTTGCAGAAATAATTCGCACTGCTACAAAGCCGTGCTTTTATAGGTTAAATTGACATATTGCCCTCAAATCAATTTTTCGTTTCCAACTTTATAAGATTGTTATGCTGGCTTATATGCTCCAAGTACAAAAAATCTTAAATTGTAACGTATTTTACTAGTTTTCACTTGCATTCTGCAGAAAGTCGAATTATGCTAGCACTATTCAAAGTTAATTGCACTTCCTTTGAACCAAAAAGACCAACATTTGCACGCGCCTTGTTTCACTTGAAGATAATATTGTTGAAGTTGGTTGGATGATGATGAATATGACCATTTTTATATATGAAATACACTATTCGAATTCGATTTAAAATTATTCCAGCTAAATTACTATTCACTGTGAACTTAAAATTCACTACTCGCAGAAGCCTACTTTGATGTGCGAATTTGTAAATATAACGAGGCTTGTTTTTGAATTTGTAAAGTATAAAAAGGCTTGTTTTTCTGACTTGTATAGATGTTCAAGCGTGGACAATGAATATACACATCGGTTTTTGTTTACCCAGTACTTAACTGTGTATTCTATTCACTATGCTGTAACTTAACCTGTACTGTAATGCAACTGACTGCATGCAATATTAAAAAAAAATCGTCGTGCATGCTTTGCTTGAACTTCAGCGTTTCTTTAGCAGTTAAGTAGAAGAAGCTGCTGGTACTGGTCAGTAAACATTGCAATTCTGCTAGCTGGTAAAATGTTGTAGCATGTCACTGTGAAAAGCACATCCTTCTGCGGCATGCATTGCCCCAGATAACAGTGTCATTTCAAGTTCAGCACGTAGATTACAGTAAAGCAATAAAACGCCTCCTGTGGTAACATGGCCTGATATTTCTTAGCCGAGCTCATAGCATTCACTAAGCTTCCTACAAAGAGTGAGGCAGTCCATAGCCTTGACAGGAAGTGTGTATACATACTACTACTTGCCAAATAAACTCTGAACATACAGCCATTCTGAACATATACAGGTGAAATTTATTTTGCCAATCGCACCATGTCTTATGGTTTACCTGAAAAGAAACACAACAAACATAAAATATTAGGACACGTCGACTAATGAAAGAAGGCAATCTTTGCCAAAACAAAATACTATTGCATCTACCTAGCAGTAACAAATGAAACACATAAAACGGATCTAATGCATCTACAGTACAACCAAACTCCCCGAATCATAAAGACATGTATACCTAAAATGTCTGGGCGAGTGAACAAAATTATCATTCAAAGCAAAAAAGCTGATTGACTTCTTCGTGGATTCCACAAAAGGGAGACACTGAAGGGTGACCACGTAAAGCATGATTGCTAGACTGTCCTTTCGAGATCATAAATATGTATCTCCTAAAAGTACTTACAAAAAATTTTACTTTCTGTTTTTTCTGTAGCAATAAGTACAGCAAACCCTCGTAAGAACGCAGTCAGCGAGACGGAGAAAAAAATTCGATATAAGCATTGATTCGATATACGCAACTGCCTGATAAAAGTAAGCAAGTACAGCCAAGTTAGCTATGACAACTTCCCAGAAGTGGTATCACGTGAAACATATCATTATTCACACACATAAAAATTATTCAGCTATCTTTTTCGGGTGCTTTGGCTGGGCGCGAGGATTGCCTGCTTGAGTTTGTTGAGGCAAATTATGAGGTCATGGTCGCTGCTTGAGCCCTAAGCTCTATTTTGTAACAGACGGAGGCTCTTTTGCGTTTGTGCCATTGTTGGTATTTCATGGATCTGTTAGTCTAGCAGCTCATCTACCTAATCAGGGCCTCCAAGCAAGTTGACTATTTCGGCCGGCTAGTCGACTGGGGCTTTGCTGCCTTTCGCAGTATAAGCAAAGAAAGTTGGTCCTCCCCTATCTTGTAAGCACCCAACAGCACTGTAATGCGTTATTTGCTTTGTTTACATCCTGACAAAGTTTCGCCCTATGTAGGGTGCATGCGCTTTCGAAATAGTTTGTAAAAGAATGCGGCCTCGTCCAAGTTATAAATGTCTCTATCTGCGTACTGCTGAAGTAGGGCGCTCCGCCCACGCTTGCGTCATACGTCCACGACATCGTGGTCCACGGCTGCACCTTTACCAATGATCAATTTTAAGACACATCGTGCCATTTTTTGAAATGTTCAAGCCAGCCCTTGCTGCAGTTTAAATCTTGCTTGCCCATTCGGGTGTCTAGGGCTTTGGATTCAGTAGTCTGTACAGACCCACTTACAGGAAGGTTTGTACTTCTAATGCTTTTCAACTATTCGAGAAGCACTCTTTTTACTTCAGAATACATAGAATCAAGGTTGCGCTTTCATTTCCTCAGAAATTCTCAAAGCTTTCCGGTACAGGATCCTTATTCTTTAGAACAGTTGATATTGTTGCGGTGGTATTTCGCATTGTCTTGCGATTTCAGACCTTTGCCGGCCTTTTTTCTTTCACCTGACGTATCAGTTAAACTTTCTGCTCCAATTTCAGACACTTCCGAAACGGGCACCGGCGGTGCCAGTTTCACTCGACCTAATTGCTCAATGTGTTTGCTCAAAAACAGGCAGCTTGATTTTGCCAAACTTTGTCTTATTGTACAATCAATGTTTCAAACATTTTAGAGCGTAACGCTTGCCAGTTGGTGCTGTTAAGCTGTACAGACCCCAGCTTCTAAGGATTCAGAATATCCAGGCCCAAGAATGAATCTGCGGCTGAAGAGGCTCCATTTTTTTATAATGGAGACATGACTTTCCTTTTCACAAAACAATTCGGAAAATTATTACAGTACTCACTAGACATGCAAGGTGTCAGGAGCTTTTCACATTCTGTGTCGCAGTACTAAACTACGTGAAATGTAATCCAGGCAATAAATGAAAAACAAAACCAGTGCTGACATTACAGTGGAACACCAATTATAGGACTTTCCGGGGATCACTCAAAACGGTCGTATAATCCGGATGTCGTAAAACCAGAAAACCAAGAAAACAGAGGGTGACACTGAGCCTTGCCAAAAAAAGGGCACAGGTTGCCTAAGCAAGCCTACGGCATGACCTTGTGGCTCTGCAAGGAAGGTACATGAAACCAGTCTTGCCAGTTGGAGCTAACGACATCATTACTTAGTTGAAGAAGGTGCAAGCAAATCTTTATTTTCAACCCTAAAAAATATAAAATCTAGCGTGCATCTTTCTACTAATAGAGTCCGAGAATTGCCTGCACATGAAAATAAAACTGAAATGGGGTTGCCAACTGCTTCCCGTCAGAAGAGTCAGAAGAGTGTCAACTCTGTCAAATAATGGTGACGGACCATGAGTTTTAGTGGAAATCTCATTTGCTGAGAAAATCTGCTGTTCTGTTGTTTTGAATCTGTAGTTAACTTACACATAGTCTCGTTTTGCAACATATGGTAGTAATCACCCTAGACTAATTTCCACAAAAAGCGGTGAAACCAGAGGGCTCCCAGTTCAAATCATTATCGTGCACATTGAGTTGCTCGAATTATCAAGAGTCTTTATCTATTGAATAATACACAGGGCTGTGCCGGGACTAGGGCATCAGTTCTAACTCGACGTAAGCTTGAATTAAAAAGCTTTTATTGTATGAATCCTTATACCGCTCTGCTTTTGTGCAACGTGAGGGTTGGCACACTTGGCAAATCTGAAAAAATTTGCTTTCTTTTCATAAAGCGCAACTTGTGCAAAACATTTGTCTTCTTTCAATAAAAAAATTCTTTGGTAGATCTCCTCACATTTTTGAATAACTTTGAATTATTCATAATTCATTCAAATAACAAAGTATACACGCACAATAAAACTACAGGGGATCAGCAAATAACATCAGCAAAAGTCGACTTACAACATCAGTTCTTCAGCGCAACTGCTGCACAAACATCATTATCCCGTTGTCCACAGTGGTCCTTGATTTGCGGCCATTAGACAAGTTACTGCCCCTTTCCGGGTTTACGTTGAACATCTCCCTAGAAGGCATGTAAATAAGTTAGCCAGTGATTTAGTTTGGTTTCTTGTAACATCAGTTCATACAGTATAAAGTCACTATCAAATTTCTTTCTGGTTTTGTAGCTTCTCAAAGATGCTTTATTTTTTTTTAATTTTGAAGTGCTCATAATTTGTGATTTATAAAGATTATTAGGCAATATTTAAAGTGTACGGTGCCACCTGCCAAGGCCATAAGCTCCATGCATGGACACGAATTTGAAACCAGTTGCATGTAACTGCATCTCAGATGCTAGGTGCAGAGTTTTTCTTTTCGTTTTACAATAACTTCCCTATAATTTGTGCACTATTCAGGTAAAGATGGAAGTGAGACAATACCAAAAAGAATGTAACTGATTTTATTACCATATTATAGTCGAAATATGTGGTGGGACCGCATGAAGAAAGATGCTTAGCAAAAACTAGGCTTCTTTGTCTAAGCTTTCTTTTTTTGTGTATCATACCACTTCGCAGTTAAACTCTAATGAACATTTACCAGCTTGCTCAATTTGCCATGCTGCTTAGTAGTAGACAGCGGTAGTTGTCTATAGAAAAACATGATAGAGATCCCTGGCAATAAAGTATGATGAAGTTGAGTACAGTTACCTCAAATAAATAAACAGGTTAAACTGAACTAAAGCGCAAATGGAACAACTGCATGTAAAATGATTGGTTTGGAACTTAGCCTTCAACCTTGTTGATCTCAGTAAATGTAACTCCTACTTGATATAACATTTTTTCCTAGTTCCTTCAGGTTCTGTTCAACATAGGCCTACTTTATTCTTGTCTTAATAAAGTTTGTTGCTGACACAAACACTTTTATTGATATAGTTCAAAGTACAGGTATACAATGAAGTATTACTTGACTACCCACAAAGGCAAAGAATTCCCCGCAAAACTAAGCCTTACAGACAAAAGCAACAATTCAGCATTTTTCTTTGCACCACAAGACATTTCAAGCAGTGCCTAGCACAGGGATTATATTCATTATGAACTAAAATTATTTAAATGTTTAAATGCGATCAACAGCACTTCTTCAAGTGGCAGCTAACCAAAATTTGTAGTCATGCAATGTCCTTAAAATTTCTTTGGCCTTAACGTCTGTTGCATTTATTTCATTCCGTTTTACAAAAAAGTGAGCTTCTCAAAAAGATTCCCTTTCATTTGTTGTTTTCTATATATGACTTTAAGCAGCACAAAAAAAAACAAGAATGAGGGCAATAAAGCAACACAACCAACAGGACTAGCACTAAACTGCGAACTGAATCGTTACTGAAAATTGATCCCTTATGTCTACGTCAGAACAACGCCTTGTCACAAAAAATTTCCAACATTATTCAAAGTTGGAAGGCATAGGTATTGTTGTACTACCAGGTGGTTTTGAACAAAACATTACTTTAATCACCCGGTACTGACAGATTTATTTTCGGCTTTAGCAAGGTATTAGGCTTGCAAGATTCCTTATCAGTTTTCACAATTTCAAGGGTTACATGTCCCAAATTGTCAATATGTTTGTGAGAGACGCTTTAGTGTAGGGCTGCAGAAATTCGAACCACCTGAGGTCCTTAAGTAGGCCCCTAAATCTAAGCAAATGAGCCTCCTGCATTATTGCCTTCATCTAAAATACAGCTTCCATGGCTGGTATTGGATCGCACGACCTGTGGGTCAGCAGTATAGCACCATAACCACTAGACCACTGTGGTAGATCAAGACAACGCGATTGCATCATCAGCGCATCTCACCTCTGAAGAAATTCCAGTGTTGTCGTGACAGGGTCAGTATAAGCTAAGTTAAAAATGTAGTAGCTCACAACTAAAAAACAAGTAGCCTCTGAAAATTCCACAGCCTTGGTGAAAAGAAGCTGCTGTTCGCAGGCCACAAAGGATTCCTACTTGAAAATGCTTCCTGTGAAAAGATGCCAAACAAGCCAAAAGATTGAAATCACTTCATTATTAATATAATCAAGGCCTGCAGTCTGAAACCTATAGCTGCATTATCAAAAAGGTTCCCACTACATTTACTGCATCCAAAGCACCTGATCACAACATATGAACTGGGTTTCAAACCAAGTGCAATTTTATCGTATGGCTGAATAGAACTTGTGTCACTGCAGATGGCTTACAATTCCCAACATATAACTGAATGTTTGCACAATATACTAACATGATAGAGGCCCCTGACAATAAAATAAGATGATATTGACTACAGTTACCTCTCAGTAAACAGAAATTAAAACACTTGACTAAAAGGTCTTCACACTCAACCATATAACTCCCTAATTACCTTCCAAAAATTGTACGAAAATCGTTATTATTTTACAATATACATCAATATGTTTATGCAATTCTGATTTTCAGATTATTATCATGCTGATTTCTGGAATTCGCACAAAAATCTAAAAAAGAAAAACTGCTACTGAGGGCGGCTTTCACTCAATGAATGACTTGGTACTTGGTCACAGCATGCTGAAACCTGAAGCATTTTTCTTATGCAATACATGGTAACACACGGAAAAGTGCTAAGATGTTTATTGCGCAAGTGGTCGGTTATCAGCGTTCACGCAATGCCACACATGTGCACTGCTCACGACATCACCGTCACTGCTGCTCTTGTCGTCATCAGAAGCAATATGCCGGGTAAACGCAATGTCCGAGTCAATGTCCGAGCTTGACACATGGCATGCAATTCACAATAAATTATCAAATTTAGCTAAACATTGCTCTCTCTTCTCAGCAAATGATGGAGCAAGCTCAACAAGCACTCGTGGAAGGCCTTCTACCAGACATTGGGTGATTTGAACATGGCGCGCTTGGTCATTACAGGGACCGCCGCGGGAGGCAGTGACTTGTCCACGTGTGCACACGCGACCCCACTGAAAAAGCTGCGGTTAAAAAAAAAAAGTTCTCAATATCACGACGCGTGAGTGGCGTATTTTTATTGACCACGCCAACTTCCCCACCCCCCTGCTTAGCTTTCAGCGCTTTTGTCAGGACGAGAGAAGAGAGAATGCAATTTCAGAGTGCGTCAAATTTTTGTTATTCTGCTCGTACAAAAGGACTCTTGAAGTTCTTGCGGCATTGAGTTCATGAAACAATAAAATCTTTTCATGAATCTTATCGTGGTTAACTTTGAAAAAGTGTTTGAAGGCTTCTTTAGGTGTGACTTAAAAAAGGACCAATTATACTGATTACATCAACTGATTGTTGAAGGTTTTTGGCTCTTAAATTTCAAAAATGCTGCTAAGCAGAATACAGACTCCCTCCCTCAGCACCAATGAAACTGAATTTTATGAGTCAGAGCTGTAACTGTGCCACAACCATGTTTGAAAAGATGACGAAGGGCTAATACAATGTGCAGCATATTCTCTTGCATTAACGCAGCTAAGCCTAAATCACTATAATTATTGGCTAACAGGGATCAAGACTTCCTGCAGTCATAGCAGCAGCTGTTTTTTTTTGTGAGTGCAGCGAGCTTCACAGGAGATTCAATCACTGATGAACAATGAACAGTGCTTAGAGAGCTGATTTAGGTAGGTTCTTGCATGACTTTAGAGCTTTATGTGAAAAGCATCTCTACTTTTTGATAACTTGCATTGAAAGCCTCTACAAATGCCCAACACAGATTTAGTTTAGATTGCTGTCATTTGCATAGCTGCATAGAAACAACTTTTGGCAGAGATAGTGTCAAAAGTCACGTCTTCAAATAAGCAGTCAATAGGACATGTGGTTTGCTGCAGATGGGTGCCACACAATAGTTAAGTGCACAAAAATTCAATGCGGTTTGGTAATGCAAATTGCTCCACCTTCTCCTCATGATGATAACTTGCAGCAGACAATGTGCTACGTTGTCATTTCAACCAATCTTCTCACTTAAGCTAGCCAAGGTGATGCAATGAATGTGCAGGCTGCTTGTGGTTATCACTGACAGGGTTCTCCACCACCAGAGCACATTAAAAGCTGTGCTCACAAGTTCATAAAGATAAAAACAAAGAGTAATTGTTCAATACACAAGACAAAAACATTTCTTAAGCACAGCCAGCAGAAACCCTAACCAAAGGAAAGAAACGCTTGTACATTGTCAGAAAAAGGAGCACATTATAATCTTTTCTGACTTCACAATCATTCCTGCCCCCCTGACTATAAAGGGAGCAGATGTGGTGCAAACATGTGAGGCAAATTCAATGCAATTTCGGCAACATAATTATTTGGACATATATAGAAATGAAATGAAAGCTCATATTTGAACATACCAAGTGCAATAATAGTAGGGGTGTGTGGCAGTTTAGGGAGTTTTTCTGCGATGCTGGTTTCTTCCTGGAAAATAAAGAGGAATACACTTGGCCAATGTTAGGAGCACGTTTCCTCAAAAACACATCTCAACATTTTGGACATTCCACCTGAGCAGATATAAAGGCAAAGTTGCTTATGCCCGTCTTATATATTTGTTCCTGCTGTGAAACTAACGACATTGAGAACAGGTAAATTTACCACAAGATCAGCGCAAATCCCACTATTCGCTGCTACGTCTCATTTCATGAAAGAGAGGTGTAGTCGTGCGCCGATGTACCTGTGGGCTCATACCCCCCCCCCCCCTTTTCAATGAGCCAACAGTACAAAAACGTCAAATTCACCCCTCAGCGCGCTGTGATTTATTGGTTATGACGAACCAGTCATCGCGTCAGGGACAGTCGGCTAAGTTGGGTGGTGTTTTCAAACCAGAGGCATCTTAATTGCTCCATTTGTTTGTCATTCCACTGAGTGCAGACGTGCACCCTATCATGACTGGAGACTGGCAGTGCAACCATCGGCTGAGCTCTCTCAAGCGGTGCTTGTTGACGAAAACGCTGTGTGCGTCCCACAAGAGCGCGGGAACACTCCCACGTTCACTGCAAAAAACGCGTACCGGAATCCCAGTGGCACGCGGTGTGCGTCGCCCACAAACACTGTGACACGCAGTAGGCGTTTCAAGAGAAGCGCGTGCACGGACATAGGGGGATAAAAAGTGGGTCGCATATTTTATATGCAAGGAAGCTGTCACGTAGCGTTAACCGCATCAAACGCTTGACAGTCTCAGCGGCACCATCACAGTCATGATCGAGTTGAACTCTGGCCTTCTCAGAATCAACGAGTTTGTATCCGAGTTCACTCATCCATCAGTTTGGTTGACAGAAGCCCATGGCGAGTATCGAATCCGCCCACCACTTTTGCTTTTGCCGAGGAACAGTGCTCACGCCGCAACGCCAGCGAGCGCATGGTTCATCTACCAGCTTTACTGCACAGACTATGCACACACGCACGCAGAAGTAAAGGAAGCCACGTCGCTACTATAAAGGAGGTATAGAATAGCACACCGCGAGCCCTTGCCGTGCGGTAGCTGCCACTGCACATGCGTTGTAACGCGAGCCGCCGTTCGCGTTCGCGGCCCGCCTGCAGAAAATTCGAAATACCACGCGGCGACCGTGGCCCGTGAGGCCTGCGAATTGCTGTGTGTAGCTTCCGTGCATTTGGGTGTGCGGTCGGGGTGAAAGTTTCCTCAGGAAGAGCAAACGCTATTCTGAAACTCATATGGCGCCCGCCACTAAAGAAACGCCCGCAGCACCTGCAAATGTTATTTTAAACCTCCCTATGATCTCATACCCCATTTAACCGTGCTCACAACATATCCAATCACAGCCACGTTGCCGACAAGATGCGAGTACCCCTGGTGACCACTTGTCCTTACATTTATCCATAATACTTGATGGAACCGAAAGAATCAGCACGAGAGCGTTGAGTGAGCAGCCTTGCTGCATTCGAGAGTGAAAATTTTCATGCTGCAGGTGGAGCAAAAGAACTTGTGCGAAAGAGGACATACGCCCACGAACATGCCTGTGGGAGGCGCGTGTTGAGTTGGCAAAAATACAGCACGGAAATCACGCTGACGTCGCTGCACTGCTAAAATGCTGAGTGAGTAGTGGCGCTGACGTGCTCGCACGCAGTGGTTTTTTTTTGATAACCACCGCAAAGGCCCCACATGTGTTTCAAACGCCACGCGCATTCGTGTAGCCATTTCTATCAACACGGTTATCACGCGCTCCGCACTGTCATCGTGCCACAGCTACCGCAAGCGAGCTCGGAGCAAACTCGGCTGCCTTGAGAAGCTTGGGCCATGCTGCATTGCACTCCAGGCCAGAAAAATCGGCGCACACGTTCTTGGACGCGAAGCAGATCCATGGTGATCCTTTCCGTTTCCCGATTGACTAATCATAAAGAGTTTCAACAGCTATGCTGCTCAGTATATTCAATAATGAAAAGAGGGGGGACACGCAGACAGGTGAGCATTAACATCATTTTATGCACCAGTATTCGACTATGAACAGATGTGATTGCACAACTGAAGGGAATTAAAAGGTGAGGAGGGATTGTCTATTTTTTTGAGAAACGGGATAGACAAGTTTGAGGGCAAAAAATATCATCGTCGACACCATACTAACCATCGCGCGACCGCACATTGCAATACGTGGATGCTATAGCAAAAACTTACTGATAAAGAAAACATAGAGGATACTAGGTAAAGCAAAAAAGAAAATACATTTTATCCCCGAAAGGTGCCAGCACTTACTCACTTTGCATGGACGAATACGGAGTCTTTGAAAAAGAAATACAGTGCAGTAGACAAATAGCAAGGACCACTTGCTATTAGCCTATTGGTCCTCTAAGGATTGAACCTTTTCTGAACGTCTCCGTGTGGTTCCATGGTGCACACCAGAATAGCAGCCGTAAGTGCAGACGAGGAGCTTCACACACACACACACAAAAAGGCTCATAACAATCGGAGAACATTTTAGTGCAAGGGAGCGGTCGGATCAGAACGGGTTGTCAGCTGGGAGATGACGCCACCCACTATTACAAATTTAATTATCTACCTGAAAGCATCACACACAGAAACTCGAGGAAATATGAGACAGCACTTAGGAGACAAAAAAAACACACAAGGCGTTTTACACCAGAAGTTTCCACATCGGGGTTGCGTGAAACCCATTATTGATACAAAAAAACAAACAAACGCCTTTTCTTTGATACAAATAAACAAGCAAA